ACACAGAACATAAAACCTGCCATTTTAATACGTTTATGTGTACAGTTAAGTGATATGAACTGTCATTTATGCAACCAGCACTCCAACATTTCCAGAACTTTTTCACCTTTCTCAACCAAAACTATGTACCCATTAGACATTAACTCCCCATTACTCCATCCTCAACTCCTGATAACTACCATTCTACTTTTTGTCTTAAAGAATTTGACTATTCTAGGAAACTTATGTAAGTGGAATCATAAAATATGTATTCCTTTGTATCTGGCTTATTTCATTCAGTTTAATGTCTTCAGGTTCATGTTGTAGCATGTGCCAAAATTTCATTCTTTTCAAGGCAGAATAATCTTCCATTTATATATATACAACATTTTGCTTATCACCTTATTTGTTCATAGACATTTGGGTTGTTTTTAGCTTTTGTGAACAATATTGCCATGAACATCAGTATATGTACATATAACTGTTTAATTATGTTTTCAATTTTTAGGAGTATATACCTAGAAGTGGAATTGCTGGATCATGTGGAAATTCTACATTTAATTCTTTGAGGAACCACCTTGGTGGTTTCCACTGTGGCTGCATCATCTTACATTCCTACCAGCAATGCACAAGGATTCCGATTTCTCCATGTCCTTGGCATTTTTTACATACCAAGGTCAATCACTTTTTGGGGAAATCTTTCTAAAATGTGTCACTCACTTTCCAGTATTCTTAAAAGAAAACTATTAAACAAAATTTAACTTTTTTCTTTTAATGATCTATGCACATTGAGTCCCTCCTCAGGAACTATTGCAATACATATGTATTTGAGATCTTGCTATTTGCTAGATAACGTTCCCAGTTATTTCTATACAACAGATCAATCGAATCCTTTCAAAATTCTGTGAAATATTATTCTCATTTCACAGATTAGTAAATGATATACACAGAGATTTAAAAACAAAAACTAGCCCAAATCACATGGCTAGGAAGTAAAGACAGCAGGATCCAAGCCATGCCTACATACATTCCTTGCCCTTTAGACGGTTTGTCTCTATATTAAATGTCTCCAAACTAATATTTTATGCTCTTAGAAAATCTGTGTATGCTGTTTAACATTTAGTTTAGGGTTTTTTTCCTTCTGGTGTTAACTCCTTGTGGTTATAAATGCACCTACCTCTAGCCATTTCCTCCTTTCCAGTTCATATATTGATACTGATATCCTGTCATCAAGAAAAACAGATAAAGTAGAGAGTTAAAACTGTGTGAAAAATGAAAGTGTGTAGATTCTGAGAAAAAATTTGAAGGATTAATCTAAGGGGAAAATATACGGACTTAGGTAATTGGTTTTTATGATATCTATTTTGGTGGTTCAATGACCTATTTTACTTATTTCAGGTCTTTGTATGTTTCAGTTAATGAGTCTACTGCTATGAATGACTTCTGAAAAATGAGTTACTACTACTTGCATCATATAATGCAATATATTTTTATTTTTGCAAAATATTGCCTCAAAGCAATAAATATTCTTTTAATGTCTGATATTCTCTTTTTAAAAATGTCTACTTAATATTTTCATAATATACAAAAAGAGAGAATCAAGGAAAAGTTCTTCGGTATTGAAAGCTCCTGGTCTTACACCAAGGCTATTCAAACAATGCATTACAGCTGCCATCAATATCCAGCTGAAATGCCCTTGCAGAATTTATTATATGTGCCAAGTAATTTTATATATTTATGACATATTCTCTGGGAAGAGTAGGCAAGTGCTTCTGTCCTTGTATAACATGTATATTGCAAAATGTTGAGCACTTAACTCTCAAAAAATCAAATCTACTTATTTCCAATGAAGTGGAAGAGGGCACTAGTTAAGTAAATACAGCACTCAGTCCTTCTATGTATTAAAAACTTTTTCTTCAAAGTGAATTCTCAGTACGTTCTCCCATACCATATTACCATCTCACTGGAAATTATTTTTTTTTCAATATCATCATTTATTAAGGGCTTCTTTTCTTACACTTATAGGATTTTCTTAGGAAACAGGTGAATAAAAGGAGTAAATCTGAGAGGACACTGTTCACTCAAAATACAGAAGGAAAAGAATAAATAATAGGTTTCTGTAGAAAAGTTCTAGGAGTAGGGGAGGGAGGGAGGGAGGAGAGTGGGAAGCACCTGACAACACAAAGTTTACTTGGTCCACTATGGGGGGAGTGAGGGTCAGTTAGAAGCCCAAACCTCATCTGCATGCTGCCTACTTATATAGTTAATCCTCATTTGTACTCCACATCTCTATTAAAAAAAAATGAAGTTTTAAAAAAAAAAAAGAAAGAAAGAAAATCTCCAGCAGCCCAGATCCTCTTCAGTCCATGAGTGAGTGATAACTGTACTATTAGGTTTACAGTTACTTTTCCTCTAAATACTCCACGTAATTTTATTCAACAAAATCAGAGTTAAGGGAAGGGAAATATGGGAAACAATCCCATTGTTTTGCTGAACAAAACCAGAGATTTGAAGTAATCGATGAGGAATAACCATTATCTTCTTACTCAGTGAGTTTGTGGCTGATTGATAGCTAAACCTGAAAGAAAGGAAACAAAATCAGAGTATTACATTATGTTTCTGATCTAAAGCTTTGACTAGATATAAAACCTCCCCCTGGACTCCACTGTTTGATCATTTTAACACTGACTTCTGACTAAAACAGCAATACTTTTAAAAAATTTTTTATTTTAAATATGTGGGGTACAATTCAGGGTTAGGTATACAAATGTTCATGATGCAGGTACCCTTGTTGATGAACTGTGACTCCCCCTCCCCTGGCAGTTTCCCACTACTATTAATCCCACCTCTCTCCTCCCCTGGCAATACTGTTAACAGCAATAAATCTACTCAAATTCTGATAATGATTTAACAAACATTTTTAGCATCCTGCCATAATAGACCTAAAACGCACTATAAACTAATTCTATTGAGTTTTGCCACATAAAGAAGGGGTTAGTCCCTCTCTATTAATCCATACCCAACACACTATTCTGTGCAAGTTAACAGCCCTGGAGGTGGGTCTCTATTCTCTGAACTTTCGCTTTTTTGAACTTCTATGACTTTCCTCTACTCATTCATTTCAGTATTGTTTTATGTTGTCCTAACTTTTTTGTAAATTATTTCACATATGCATCATGTTTTATTGTTCTTAAGTATCACCCACATTAAACACGGTAGACTGATTATATAGTAAGATTTAAATAAATTATTTCCAATCATTAATAAATTTGTTCAAAGAAGAAATTGAGAGTGGGACATTCTTCAGGCTGATTAAACCACAGAAAACTAGAGCAACAGGCTAAGTGAACTGTAGATGAAGCCTAAGCATGGGTTTTCAACTTTTAAATGTCTAAACAATAGCTATTTAAAAAAATCAAACTAAACAATAGCTATTTTAAAAAACCAAACTGATCATTACAGCTGATATACAATAAACATTCAAAAATTAAAAACTCTTAACTGGAAGGTATTTTATTCTATTTTACGATAGTCATATAGTAGTACAAAAGCATTTAAAGAAATCTGCGAATATGACATAAATAATGTTTGAGGGGACAAAAATAAAATTCACTGAGCAAAGTGGACCTAAAAGTAGAGTAGAAAATGGCAAGACAGCTACTATTTTTTTCAGTGTTATTTTTATTTCTGGTTGAAAATTACTTATATGGAGTACAACTTGTATACATTGTGGACTGATCAAATCAGAATAATTACCTCAAATGTTCATCATTTCTTTGTGGTGAGAACACAATAGAAATTCAATGGAAACATAGTAAAGTACTTCATTAAAAGTTTGTACTGGCCTTCAAGTTACTGGTTTCCAGCTGTCACAGCTGAAATAAAGGAAGAGGGAGGAAGGAAGGAAAAAAGGGAGGAAGGGGGGAAGAAAGAAAGGGAAAGAAAGTAGAAAAAAGGGAAAACCCTGAAGTACTCTTTAAGAGTTTAGGAAATGTGATCTGATGGGTTTATAAAATTTCACTAAAACCACAGCAAGATCACAGTGGTTGGGAGACTCAATCAGGTCCCTAAAACATCTGTAGTTGTTTTAAAATGACAAAGGGTGAAATGCTTCAGCATATGGAAAATGAAGAGGGCTTCCAGCAGTTGGCCAGCGTTCTAGGTGACTGATGTTGGTGAGCAATTCCCTTAAACAACTGATTTACTGCCAACAGACAGAATGCTGAAAGTACATCCAAAAACTCATCTGCAATTAAAATTACAAGCCAGTGGTCACTCTATCCACCTCCTCTACCAGAGAGGTGACCCTGCTCCTGGCAACCACCATCTCCACACAATGGCCACAGAGGAGTACCTCTTCTAATCTCCTTTCTTGCAGCTCAAACCTCACAATAAAAACCTGCCTTGCTCCGTCTCCCAATCGCCTTTGTAAAGAGGGGTGGAAGTAGAGCCTTTCTCCCTCCCCTCTCCCTCCTTCCCTCCCTCTCTCCTTCCCTCCCTCCCTTCCATCCTCCTCTTTCTTTCCTTCCATATTAACCGCTTAGTAAAACAAACAAAATTCTCAGATCATCCCGCTCCGGTGGCAGACGAGACGGAGTCAGGCACAGGCGGCATCGGGCCGTTGCCTTCGCCAGCACCATCTGGCACCTGCGACTCATCCCCACTTTCCATCCGCCCAGAGGTCAGAGGGGCAGCAGGCAAAGGACAAGCAGAGCCGGTGCGTCCCAGTTCCTCTGAAACTTTCAACTGACTGCACCCTCCCTCGACAAACTCCTTCGTCATCCATCAAGCCAGAAGAGTACGGCGACCTCTGCCTGGCCTCTGGAGTAGCAAAAGAGACGAAGCAAGAAAAGTCAGACGAGGTTCGCCCTTTGCCTCCACCGCCCAACAGCAGCGCGCGCAGAGCGGCGGCGCGGCCGGGAGGGGCCGCTGTTTGCTCAGAGCAGCCGCCGCGGCCCGCACCTCCCACGGCCCGGCTGGCCCAGCCCCGCCAAGTTCCAACAGCCCCCAGTAGAGCGAGCTCCGGGAACAAGCGTCGCCCGGGCAGGAGCGGGCCGCGTAGCAGAGCCGAGCTGCGACGCGCGTCGGAGAGGCTCCTGGGAAACTCCCACGGCCCGGGGACTTTGGAAGAGAGCGCGCGACGAGCCCTCGCGCGCACAAGTCCGCAAGGGAGCGCTCAGCGCGGCACCTGTTCCTCCCGCGCCACCCACTTCTCCCCCTCGGACCCGTGCTCCCCGGGGCGCCCGCCCGCTCCTGCGATGAATCCGGCGCTGGGCAACCAGACCGACGTGGCGGGCCTGTTGCTGGCCAACAGCAGCGAGGCGCTGGAGCGCGCCATGCGCTGCTGCACCCAGGCCTCCGTGGTGACCGACGACGGCTTCGCCGAGGGCGGCCCGGACGAGCGCAGCCTGTACATCATGCGCGTGGTGCAGATCGCCGTCATGTGCGTGCTCTCGCTCACCGTGGTCTTCGGCATCTTCTTCCTCGGCTGCAACCTGCTCATCAAGTCCGAGGGCATGATCAACTTCCTGGTGAAGGACCGGAGGCCGTCTAAGGAGGTGGAGGCAGTGGTCGTGGGGCCCTACTAACCGGTCCTTCGGCCCCGCGGCAGCCGCCCCGACGCGTCCCCACTTCGCCAGCTGGGCGGTGTCCCTCCCCATCACAGGCTGGGTGAAGCAAACCTGTCGGAGTCAATTATTTCTCTTGACTTCTACCTTTCCGGGAAGAGCGAACCGTTTCTTGATCGCCCTCCGAAAGTCCCCATGCCTAGCTGGAGGAGGAGAGCGCCCTGACTTCTGGACTCAGCAGCAAGTGGCGAGAAGCGGGCGAGTGGGGCGCAGAACTTTGGAAGCTGCTACTTGCTTGGAATGCGGGGAGACCGACGGGGCGAAGGCCCTTCTCCACCCGCAGGTGGGCCAAGCGCTGGGGGCAGGTGGAGAGGGCGGGCAGGGGAACGACCCAGCGGCACCCATCGCCTAGTGACCCCCAAAGTGACCTGTTTATACGCCATGCAACAGACCTAATGGGGTCGCACAAATCCGTGTCCGGGTTCGCGTCCACTCTTGCTCGCTCCAGCCCTGGCGGGCAGAGGCGATAAATACCTTTGATTGACTGTAACGTGCTGTTTTAAGGGATTTTGTGTCTGTTTGCTTGAATACAACTATTTGATAAATCCTTTTCTGCCCCCATGGCCTGTTTGCCTGCCGGGCGGGGTGGGGGGGGTAGAGTTTTGTCGTCGGGGAGAAGGGGTGGGGGAGGGGGGAGCCTGCAAATGTGAACGGGGTGAGTTGTTTCTTTTAGTGCGTTTCCAGCTGGGTCTTTTCGGGGGTGGGGGGAGGCTAGCGTTCCAGCTGGCCTGGCAACAAAGACCCAGAATAGAACTCGTAGCTCGTGACTGCACGGTTTACGCCACAAAAGTGCTCTTGACATCGTGACACCGTTTTGACTTTTTTTTTTCTTATTTGACATTCCCTTAATAAATACAACAATTACGTGTTTTGTTCCTGGGCTCCTGGTGGTCATTCTGCGCTCCCCGCAAGGGGGAACAGGCGGCAGTGAGGAGTCTGTCCCTGCCAGGGGAATCGCCCTGGAGAGCGGCGATTCAACTCTTGGATCCCACAGAGGGGCGAGGGTGGGGGTGAGACGAGTGAGGCACAGCCAAGCCCCAGGCACAGGAGCCGCCCTGGAGGCAGTAGCCTTTGTTTTCCCTCGTCGTTAATATTTTATATTTCATTTAGTCTCAGCTCTCAGGTAGGCGAGACGGCAGGAGGGCCCCCGCGGGAAGATTACACTTCCGTGCCAGGCTCCGGCGGGAAACCAGGATCACACCGCTAATGAGAGGAAGAGACGGCTTGGCTGGCCTTTAGGGAGGGCGTCTCTCCCCCGACCAACGTCAGCAAGACAGCATTGAGATGCTGCTCCAGAAGGGAAAAAAATACATATAAAATGCGAGGAAAAGTAGCTGCTAAAGTACACAGTGACGTGAATACTCCCTGGGGGTAAACCATTGTTGCTAAAACAGGAGATGTGCTATTGTCTTTGCCATATTACTTTTTCTAGCGAAAGGGCGAGATGAAGAGAGAGATGGGCCTATCTTTTGCAATTTAGAAGAGTCAGCCCTAGGCCCGGCCAAGAGTTGAGAGGAGTTAGCCGAGGTCCTGAATGTCGGGGATCAGTATTACCACCAAAACTGGAAAAGATGGGCTGGAGTAGAGTTACAGATGGTTGTTGACACACTTAGGGTTCAGAAATTGAACTATGTTGGAAAGATTAGCCTAGAAAACCGTGCCTGTGAAAATAACCCAAATGATACAACAGCTTCAAGCTTAAACTTGACCGAAGGTTTTGAGCAGTTTATTTGTATGCCTGAGGTAGGATCCTAAATATTTTCAAGACTTTAAAGGACTCACTAAGATGCTATAACAATTAAAATTTCAATTTTACCTGTATGTTGACCACTTGTATACCTGATCCTGAATTGTACCCTATATATTTAAAATAAAATAAAATAAAACAATTAAAATTTCAAAACCTCACAACGGCAGTAAGACTGACTTGAACAACGATAAAGTGTCCAATTTCCTCAGAAAAAAGCAACAACTGGTGTAAACAATGTCAGTGACTCCAAGGTTGGGGATCAAAAGGTTTGAGCACTTTAACATCCTGTCCACTATTCAGTGTCTATTTCACTCTCAAGTAAACCTTGCCAGGAATTACAACCTAGGATGGTTTTTTGAATGCTAATGGGTATCAGGCTGTGGGGGGAAGAGGGGATCGTGGGGTTAGATTTTGAAGTTTTACTTGTTGTTCCTGACTTTTCAACAGGTACAGTTTGCTTGTGTGTTTGCTTTAGTATCTGAGGAGGAGGCAGATTCAACAGATAGTCCACAGGTATTCAGCAGGAGACTTTTGCTAATGGGTAGCACAGAAAATGGAGAGATCATATTTTGTAGAGACGTCTTATTTTATAGACAGCTTCTGTGGCACCAAGTTAATTGGCTGCCTCCATGTTTCAAAGGGACAAACAAAGCAGGGCAATGGGTTTACCCTGGGGCACACTGGACATTTAAAACTTAACTTAGGTTTTAGTGCCTGCAACATCACATCCACATCGGCTAAGGGTCTCTTTTTCTGGCAGATTTATTAGCCCACCTGTGAATTCAGTGCTCTGGTGGAAACTGATTTGGAATTTAAAAAATCAGCCAGAGTTTATAGGAATCTTGCTATTTATACTCTGCTAGATGTACATGCTGACAGCAAGTTTCAGACACTGTTGAGGAGGTGGGGCTCAAACCTACAGGTCAATTTTAAATTGTCTGTATAGAACAGAAGTTTTCATTTAAATCACAAGTCCTGAAAGTTGAGAGAGGAGTCTTCCCAAGGTTGAAGACCTGTACTATCTTCTGTACCTTGTTTCTCTGAATTTTTCTTCACATTTCTTTCCTCTTCCCTGTATCTCAAAAGCAAAATTGACAGTTCCTCCTTATCTCAACTATCCAAATTTAGTCTCTTATACCCAGAAATTGTGATCATAAGATAGACCAGAACCTGCAAAATTTAGTCCTTAGGTAGAAAAGATGTCAACACAGTGCTGTAATCTATGATCTATGCATTATATGGAAATGCACACAGTCTGAAATGCACATAGCCCTGGGGACTATTTCCTGCCAACGAAGCTTCTCTTCAGTCCTTAGATTCATTTGTTACTTAGAGAGATGCCAAGTGGTTCTGGTTTTTATATGTGAGGTGATGTGTGCAAGAAGCTTTTTACACTCCTTATTCCCTGATGACCACACGGCAACCACTTTCTGAGGCCCTACACCACTCCCTGTCTTACTCTGCCTTTGACTTTCCGTGTCCCTCATTGTAACAAACGCATTAAATGAAACTTTTTAATCCTACTTAGAATTTATGGAGTGTCAGTCCTTTCTCACAGACATGCTATAAAGAAAATAGGTTTTGAAAGACACTCTCTGTGTTCACCTAAGAATACAATATCAGCCTTCAGAGACTGGGAATTGAGAGAAGTAAAAGCAAACAGGCAGGTTCTATTATGCCACACTGAAGTCTACCATGTGGTCAGTAATTAGTGGAAGGCCAAGACGCAGGGAGGCAGAGGGAGAAAGAGAGAGGAAGAGAAGAGGAGAGGAGAGGAGAGGAGAGGAGAGGAGAGACAGAGAGAGAGAGACACAGAGAAAGAGAGAATAGACACAAAAACAGAGAGAGAAAGAGACAGAGACAGACTTCCTGAGCCCTTCTGGACAGATAGCTGAAGCAGGGAATGGTTTTTGTGAGATACAAAGCCTCTTAGCCTAACTGAATGACCTCTGTATAAGTAGCTTAACCAATTACTGATAAATATTATTTTTCTGAAGATTGTTGATATGAATCTCCCCATTTTATCTGAAAACATAGCAAGAACTTGGGATGGTCTGTGATTTCAGATTTCCAAGCCGCTCTGACTTCTCACTGGATCCAAGTCAATCCTGTTACACTATGTCATACTATGCTAACCCTGAGTGAGGAAGGGAAAGGCACACTGGACTGAGATGTTAGAAATATTGGTACTGGTTTCTACGCAGCTGGGTGGGCTCATTCCTAAAATAAGGAAGATGGATTGTAAAAGGATATTCCAATTTCATTATTGCATGAATTGATTTATTTAACATTTTCTTGTCTCTCAAGATTTTTCATATATCTCTTCATGACGTGTCTTTAAACTGTTTTACCTTTCCAGACTTAGTCTTTTGTGTAGAATTTTTTTCTTGCAAAATAAAGTGCTCCTCGATTCAGCATATGTTATTCATAATAATCAAAGCCAAAATTTCAGACACCTAGCTAGGCCTGGGTAGACAGCAGTGCCTAACCTGATTACACTCCTTCTTACCAGTACCTTAAGTTCCCAGATGTCTAGGTTCTCACTGAATGAAGTCTTGAAAGCAAAGCTCAGAGAACTCGGGAGTAAGACATTCTTCTAGATACACATTCAGACCAATATGCGCTGTTGTTTATAGAAACTACCTGGGTGTTTGAAGGCCCATTAACAGCCAATGTTTCTCCCCTAAAGCATTTTTCCCTTTAAATTTCTGCAACAGCACCCAGCAGCTGTTCCACATGCAGTGTAGAGTCTTTCTTAACCCTGGCTTATTATACTTGTCACTTTGGGGGTTGCAAATGACAGGAAAGGATTCCAGGGTTCAGTGTATTCTGTAAGACTCAAACCTAGAGTGAAAGCCTATTGAAGCAGCAAGTCTGCAGCAATCCTCCACAGAAATCAATAAATCCTTTTTCTACCTGCCAAATCCCATGTAGACATGTGCACAATAGTTCAAGTGGGATGTGTTTTAAAAGCAGCTCCCACAGTAGTAATTGTTTCCTAATGTCTGAAGTTAAATGTTCAAGGGTTAAATTGTTTTCATAGCCAATCCCATTTTTTCCTCCTTTCTGTATATTTTTGCATTACTTTAAATGCTTGAAATTTTTGAATATACAGTATTAATTTTTGGAAAAATAAAGTATATAATATTATCAGTCATCTATCATTTATGATGATCATAATAAAATAGTTTACATGTGCATTTCTCTTTTTTATTTATTTTGTTATCTTTATTGTATTTGAGGAGCTCAAAATATTCCAGGAAGAGCTTTTGCTACAAGGACTGCTATAAGGATAACTACATGCATTTTTAAATCCTCCTCAATCACCTTGCAAACAGTGGCATGCTTGTAACCTAAATAACAATATATACTAAAGAAGAATAAAAATGTTTATATTCATTTTTTTGACTATTTATGTATATTGTGAAAGAAATATGGATAAATAGTGTTCGTTCCTAAATATATTTAAGGACTTGCTTGCTGAAATATTTTTGAGTGGGTAAATGCGGGCATAGGGTGATCAATACAAAAAAGGTCAAGTCATCTGTGATAATGCTGGAACAAATTCTGCCCTGCCCCCCCCCCACTTTAAAACTGATTTCCATTAGATAGTAATATTTTATGAGCTCATAAATTCAGTCATAGTGTTTTTCAAGCACCCATGTGTGAGAGGTACTTTATATATTGCTAAAAAATGAGGCGATTTCTATCCATTTGAACAGACATACACAGGGGAAGGAATATGATCTACCTACTAGAAAGATGATTTTAAAAATGTTGCTATTTACTATTTCTGGAAACCATAGAAATATACTTTTTATCATCTTATCCCATAATTATGCTATAGCCTACAAGTTGGCATAAGGTTACAGTTTTCCTCATTGTTTTTTTAATTTATTTGCCTTCCACTTTCACCAATTCCTATCTTATTATGCACTCCTTACTGCTTCCCACACCCATATCTGAAGATATACTGCCCTGAAAGAGTCATTGATTTTTATCAGACCAAGACTCCAGATGTCTGATTGCTTTGGGGAAAAAAAGTCCCTCTGGGATCCAGAGTGTCTCTCCTGCTTTATTTATTTTCTCATAAATTGAGCGGGATCATGTAGTTCATATTCTAAG